AATTTTCTTTTTGTTCAACCCACTTTTTGAACAGGAAAAAAAGAATAATCTGTGGGCTGCTTTCCTGAGTATACAGCTTGTTTATCATTTAATCCTTGCCTATGTTTCAGTTTAAACTATTGCCATGGCCACTGATCCAGGTCTGTTTCAGGGTGGCTCCTTTCTCTTCCAGCATACTATGGAGCCACCCTTGCATGCAAGAACTAGAGAAGGAATGGACATTGCTCAACTGACCCCAGGGGTCCGATGCTGAGGAATAGCCTCAGCAGCTGTTCTGGCCACACCCATTGTGACCACACCCACGCTCGAACTCATGCTCCCCACTTCTCATTGCCAATGGGGAGATAATTTTCCTTCCATCCATGGCTTGGAGCAGCACCAAAAGGTACACTTTTCACTATGCAGGAACTAGAGTTTTGTCTACCTAAACAAGCCTTTCTTAATGATTTTACCCCAGGAGTAACCTCTAAAATATGTTTCAGGTCTCAGGGAGCCCTTACTAAACCAATTCATCATTACAGTGGCAGTCAGAATGCCACCTTTACATAAATATAGACCTTAACACATAGTGTTTGTCCTGGCAGGCCCCACTAAATGGGAGTTTAATCAGCCACAGCTTAAGGAACCCCTAGGAACCTCTAAAGGACTGTTAGGGTTCTACGGAATCCTGGTCTAGGTAGCTGGCCTACACTAGACACACATAGCCCCTCAGCCTAGGATGGCAAGGCACTCTCCTGCTCCTTCCTCCCCCTCTACCATCCCTATTCCCAGCTAACAGACTGGCTGGAGAGTGCACTGATTACTATTTCCTGTGAAGACTTGAAGTTCAGAGAAGCAGCACTGAAAAAACAGGACCAGCAGCATTGAAAGTTGTAAACTTAAAGTGCTGGGGTAGGAATTTTAAATAGTAATTTACTGGGGAATGTTTATTTTATTGTGCTCAATGTGTTAAATCAGGGGTCTCCAAACTTTCTAAACAAAGGGCCAGTTTACTGTCCTTCAGACTTTAGGGGGGCTGGACTGTGGTTATCGGAAGTAGAAAATGCCCTCTGTGGGAGTAAACAATGCCCCATCTTTGATGCATGTGAGAGGAATTGAGCCCCCTCGTTTGTGTCATTAGGTGGGAATAAACATGCCCCATCATTGGTGTAATTGGGAGAAATTGTGCCTCATCATTGGTGTCATGGGGAGGAACTTTGCCCCAACGGTAATGTCATTGAGAGGAATTGTGCCCTTTCGTTGGGTTTCATGGAGGGAATTATGTCCTATTGTTGGTGTTTGAGGATGAAATATTGCCCCAAGGGCCAGATAAAAGCAAGCAAAGGGCCGCATTTGGAGACCACTGTGTTGAAATAAAAATGCCAAGGGTTTAATACTACGTTAAATCATGATAGCTAAAAAAAAGTCTAATCATACCTACTTCCACAAAGCTATTCTCCCACAATTCAATACAGGTGCACGTCACATTTCTGAACTAAAAGAGCCACGTGGATTAGAGAAGTTATCACAAAAAGAACAAAAGCACTTGACACAACCCTGACAAACATTCAGATGCAAGATTGATAAAAGCAATTAAAGCCCAACTCCTGGAAACATAAAAATTATCCCTTGCAGTGAGGCTGAGGAGAATTTTTGCATTTGAACTTACCTGATCTTGCACCTCCCCAGTAGATGGCATTCCCAACACTCCAGTGGTGGACTGTCCTTTGGTGTCACCACATCCAATGCAGGGCTATGCACCTTGCATTGGTATTGATGACATCATGGACCTTAAAACCTGTGGGGACCATTCTAGCAACACAGAGGATCAGGTAAGTAGATCCTCTTTTCTACTGTATGTCCGCTAGACCTAAATGAGCAATTAACCCTTGAAGAGCAGGCACAGTTTCCCGGAGTTGGGCTTTGGGTTCAACTACTGTGGAGATAGAGCAAGATAAGAAATAGGAAACCCAATTTGAAGGAAACCCAAGTGAATATGTGCCTAGACCATGTACACTAAAGTACATATCCTGAACAACCAGTAAAAAACCCTTATTAACCTCATCGTTAGGCATCATGCAGAAATTTGTTTATAAAAATAGTTAATTTCCCCCTATGTTCTATGGAGAGCATATCTTGGCAGCCTGCCAGCTTTATAAAGGTATACAGCAAGTAATTCTAAGTTGGTAAAAACTGTCTGACACCCAACGTTAGGGTATATTCACACCATTGTGTTGGATCAATGCGTTTTACACACTTTGCAGGGCAATGCATCCTGAAATGCATCACAACACTCATTCATTCCAGCATCTGTCACACAAAGTAACGCACTACCATGCATTGCATTGCACTGTGTTGCTAAAAATAGTGTTGGTATGTTTTTATGTGTGTTCTGAAGCAATGACAGATCGTTTAAATGACATAATGTGCATAAACACAATGCTCTAGAACATGAGGGTGTGAGGGGGTCCATGTAGTCACTATTGTAATCTTTGAAAATTAATTACTTCACAGTACATGCAGCTAGGGAGTTCAGTGAGCTCTTTCACTGCTTATTAAAAATATGTAAATACTTAATTCATAATCTGGGCACAGGTACATGATTAAAATTGGAAAGCGGGACTAGGTCCTAGTCTAATACAAAGCTATATGGACCCCATGCTTTCTCAAATAGAAAAATGTTAGCCATTCCAGTTTCATCCCCTCTGGTGTGATGACACAAAACTTGACCATATTCTTCTGAGGGTGGACTAACCATGCATTTCACAAGGTCTGCATAAGTAGCAGCACTCTCCATACAAGTATTAATATTTAAAAGCCTTTGCCAAATGGAAAGTAACATTATATGTGCAATGTGTGAAAATGTTGCACGACACTAATAAATTATATATATACACTGCTCAAAAAAATTAAAGGAACACTTTTTAAACACATCAGATCTCAATGGGGAAAAAATATCATGCTGGATATCTATACTGATATGGACTGGGTAATGTGTTAGGAACCTAAGGATGCCCCTTCGTTTGATGGAAATTAAAATGATCAACCTACAGAGGACTGAATTCAAAGACACCCCAAAACTCAAAGTGAAATAATGATGCAGCAGGCTAGTCAATTTTGCTGAACTGTCATTGCAGCAACTCAAAATGGTAGTTTGTTTGGCCCCCACGTGCTTGTATGCATGCCTGACAACGTTGGGGAATGCTCCTAATGAGATGACAGATTGGGGTTTATTTACTAAAGCTGGAGAGTCCAAAATCAGACTCCCTTCTGCATAGAAACCAATCAGCTTCTAACCTCAGCTTGTTCAATGACGCTTTGGCAATGAAACCTGGAAGCTGATTGGTTTCTATTCAGAAGTGAGTCTGATTTTGGACTCTCCAGCTTTAGTAAATAAACCCCATTGTGTCCTGGGATATTTCCTCTCAGATCTGGACCAGGGCATGACTGAGCTCCTGGACAGTCTGAGGTGCAACCTGGAGGTGTCAGATGGACCGAAACATGATATCCCAGAGGTGTTCTATTGGATTTAGGTCAGGCAAGCGTGGGGGCCATTCAATGGTATCAATTCCTTCATCCTCCAGGAACTGCATGCATACTCTCACCCATGAGGCTGGCAATGTCATGCACCAGGAGGAACCCAGGACCCACTGCACCAGTGTAGAGGCTGACAATGGGTCCAAGGATTTCATCCTTATACCTAATGGCAATCAGGGTGCCATTGTCTAGACTGTAGAGGTCTGTGCGTCCCTCCATAGATTTGCCTTCCCAGACCATCACTGACCCACCACTAAAATGGTCATGTTGAACAATGTTACAGGCAGCATAAAGTTCTCCACGGCTTCTCCAGACCCTTTCACGTCTGTCACATGTGCTCAGGGGAAACCTGCTCTCATCTGTGAAAAACACAGGGCACCAATGGCCAATTCTGGTGTTCAATGGCAAATGCCAATTGAACACTATGGTGCCAGGCAGTGAATACAAGGCCCACTAGGGGACATCGGGCCCTCAGGCCACCCTCATGAAGTCTGTTTCTGATTGTTTGATCAGAGACATTCACACCAGTGGCCTGCTGGAGGTCATTTTGTAGGGCTCTGGCAGTGATCCTCCTGCTCCTCCTTGCACAAATGAACAGATACCAGTCCTGCTGATGGGTTAAGGGCCTTCTACTGGCCTGTCCAGAACTCCTAGAGTAACTGTCTGTCTCCTTGAATCTCCTCCATGCTCTTGAGACTGTGCTGGGAGACACAGCAAACCTTCTGGCAATGGCACATATTGATGTGTTATTATGGAGGAGTTGGACTGCCTGTGCAACCTCTGTAGGGTCCAGGTTTCGCCTCATGCTACCAGTAGTGACACTGAGCCTAGCCAAATGCAGAAATAGTCAGAAAAGATGAGTAGGGAAAAAATGTCTGTGGCCTCCACCTGTAAAACTATTCCTGTTTTAGGGGTCATCTCATTATTGCCCATCTAGTGCACCTGTTGTTAATTTCATTAACACCAAAGCAGCTGAAACTGATTACCAACCCCCTCTACTACTTAACTGACCAGATCAATATCCCAGGAGTTTAATTGATTTGATGCTATACTCTAATTACAAAGTGTTACTTTAATTCTTTTGAGCAGTATACCATATTTTTCGCTCCATAAGATGCACTTTTCCCCCCCCCCCCCAAAAAGGGGGAAAATTGCCACTCGGCTCTTCTCTGCAGCAGAAACGTACCTGTTCCTCGGTCCAGCACTGTACAGTCTTCCCGCGCTGGCATCTTTAGTGTTGGCACCCAGCTGTCACAGCCGGGTGCCCGCTGCGCATGCACGAGAAACGGTGCGCTTTGTGAATGGTACACATGACAGGTCCCAGAAGACTCAGGACCAATCACAAAGCGCAGCACTTCTTGCACATGCGCAGTGGGCAGCCGACTGTCAGCCGGGTGCTCATACTAAAGGGAGGACAACTCCACGGAAGTGGGAGTGGGTACCTGTCAAATTCAGGTATCCGCTCCCCCCTCTCTCCCCAAAGGTCCACAGTCTCTGGTCATCTCCTGTACTGTCTGCAGTCTCTGGTCATCCCCTCTACTGTCTGCAGTCTCTTGGTCATCTCCTGTACTGTCTGCAGTCTCTTGGCCATCCCCTGTACTGTGTCCGCAGTCTCTGGTCATCTCCTGTACTATGTCCGCAGTCTCTGGTCATCTCCTGTACTATTTCCGCAGTCTCTGGTCATCTCCTGTACTGTGTCCGCAGTCTCTGGTCATCTCCTGTACTGTGTCCGCAGTCTCTGGTCATCTCCTGTACTGTGTCTGCAGTCTCTGGTCATCTCCTGTACTGTGTCCGCAGTCTCTGGTCATCTCCTGTACTATGTCCGCAGTCTCTGGTCATCTCCTGTACTGTGTCCGCAGTCTCTGGTCATCTCCTGTACTATGTCCGCAGTCTCTGGTCATCTCCTGTACTATGTCTGCAGTCTCTGGTCATCTCCTGTACTATGTCCACAGTCTCTGGTCATCTCCTGTACTGTGTCTGCAGTCTCTGGTAATTTCCTGTACTGTGTCTGCAGTCCATTGGTTCAGAATATTTTTTTTCTTGTTTTCCGCCTCTAAAACCTAGATGTGTTTTATAGTCAGGTGCGTCTTATGGAGCGAAAAATACGGTATATATATATATATATATATATATAAATATATATATATATATATGTATAGATATAGGCATTGAATTTATACAAATAGAATATATATGGCATGCCAAAGAAAAATATGTGCTACCGCACTTATTTGTAAGGGTTTGTTGAAGTAGAATGCCGGGCAAAATTATTATTTTTTTTTTATGCAGTGGGGCTGTGCTATGTCCGCAGTCTCTGGTCATCTCCTGTACTATGTCTGCATTTTTGTCTAGGGGCTCGTAAAGCAAAGGTACAGTCAGGTCCATAAATATTGGGACATGACACAATTCTAACATTTTTGGCTCTATACACCACCACAATGGATTTGAAATGAAACGAACAAGATGTGCTTTAACTGCAGACTGTCAGCTTTAATTTGAGGGTATTTACATCCAAATCAGGTGAACGGTGTAGGAATTACAACAGTTTGCATATGTGCCTCCACTTGTTAAGGGACCAAAAGTAATGGGACAATTGGCTTCTCAGCTGTTCCATGGCCAGATGTATGTTATTCCCTTATTATCCAAATTACAATGAGCAGATAAAAGGTCCAGAGTTCATTTCAAGTGTGCTATTTGCATTTGGAATCTGTTGCTGTCAACTCTCAAGATGAGATCCAAAGAGCTGTTGCTATCAGTGAAGCAAGCCATCATTAGGCTGAAAAAACAAAACAAACCCATCAGAGAGATAGTAAAAAATATTAGGCGTGGCCAAAACAACTGTTTGGAACATTCTTAAAAAGAAGGAACGCACCGGTGAGCTCAGCAACACCAAAAGACCCGGAAGACCACGGAAAACAACTGTGGTGGATGACAGAAGAATTCTTTCCCTGGTGAAGAAAACACCCTTCACAACAGTTGGCCAGATCAAGAACACTCTCCAGGAGGTAGGTGTATGTGTGTCAAAGTCAACAATCAAGAGAAGACTTTACCAGAGTGAATACAGAGGGTTCACCACAAGATGGAAACCATTGGTGAGCCTCAAAAACAGGAAGGCCAGATTAGAGTTTGCCAAACGACATCTAAAAAAGCCTTCACAGTTCTGGAACAACATTTTATGGACAGATGAGACCAAGATCAACTTGTACCAGAGTGATGGGAAGAGAAGAGTATGGAGAAGGAAAGGAACTGCTCATGATCCTAAGCATACCACCTCATCAGTGAAGCATGGTGGTGGTAGTGTCATGGCGTGGGCATGTATGGCTGCCAATGGAACTGCTTCTCTTGTATTTATTGATGATGTGACTGCTGACAAAAGCAGCAGGATGAATTCTGAAGTGTTTCGGGCAATATATATCTGCTCATATTCAGCCAAATGCTTCAGAACTCATTGGACGCCGCTTCACAGTGCAGATGGACAATGACCCAAAGCATACTGCAAAAGCAACCAAAGAGTTTTTTAAGGAAAGAAGTGGAATGTTATGCAATGGCCAAGTCAATCACCTGACCTGAATTCGATTGAGCATGCATTTCACTTACTGAAGACAAAACTGAAGGGAAAATGCCCCAAGAACAAGCAGGAACTGAAGACAGTTGCAGTAGAGGCCTGGCAGAGCATCACCAGGGATGAAACCCAGCGTCTGGTGATGTCTATGCGTTCCAGACTTCAGGCTGTAATTGACTGCAAAGGATTTGCAACCAAGTATTAAAAAAGTGAAAGTTTGATTTATGATTATTATTCTGTCCCATTACTTTTGGTCCCTTAACAAGTGGGAGGCACATATGCAAATTGTTGTAATTCCTACACCGTTCACCTGATTTGGATGTAAATACCCTCAAATTAAAGCTGACAGTCTGCAGTTAAAGCACATCTTGCTCGTTTCATTTCAAATCCATTGTGGTGGTGTATAGAGCCAAAAATGTTAGAATTGTGTCGATGTCCCAATATTTATGGACCTGACTGTATATTATTATTATTACAGGTACTTATATAGCGCCATCAATTTACGCAGCGCTTTTACATATACAGTGGGGCAAAAAAGTATTTAGCCACCAATTGTGCAAGTTCTCCCACTTAAAAAGATGAGAGAGGCCTGTAATTGGCATCATAGGTAGACTTCAACTATGAGAGACAAAATGAGAAAAAAAATCCAGACAATCACATTGGCTGATTTGGAAAGAATTTATTTGCAAATTATGGGGGAAAATAAGTATTTGGTCACCTACAAACAAGCAAGATTTCTGGCTCTCACAGACACAGTACAGGAGTTGACCAGAGACTGCAGACATAGTACAGGAGATGACCAGAGACTGCAGAAGTGGGTACTAATATGTCTGGTAACTTGTGGCTGGCTGGTTGGGAAGCAATAAAACTGCAGCCCAACCATCTATTTTTACTGAACTCCAACTGCCTGTGTAGAAGTAGCCTTACTCTTCCCTTGATCCCCTGCAAAGCCTCATAAATACCTGTTCAACTTGGCAGTGATGGGGGGGTTACAATGCTGCACTGCTTCTGAGTTCACAGCGGAGTTGCCTCTCTCGTGTAGGCTGTGCACAACTGAAAGAGGATTTGCCTGACTCAGCTTATTTTTTAATTTATGAGGCTCTTACATTACATAGTAACTAAATTTATACCTCTTTAGATTGTCACGTAGATGTAGTTAAACCTAATGGGAATGTGACTTTTTTTTTACCTGACAATGTATGTAAATCTATGTAGCACGGTACAGGGAAACTAGTTACAAATCTGGTGTTCTTGATTTTTATGACTGTCTTTTATATGATGGTGTACTCATATTATCTATTGCAAAAGTGCTAGTACTCACACTGTGAGTGAGTATTATATTCCTAAAACTGTGATCATTATTTTGGAACACCCTTTTTGGAATAACACATGTTGCTACAATGAGTCATCCCAGAGAGTAAGCGACAAGTTATTAACAAACAAAAACAGTTCAAGCTTTGCTACAAAAATGTTGTGTGCAATGGCTACTGGTCAATTCCTAAACATGGCTCCAACAATTAACAATATGGATGTCTAAAAAAAAGAGTGTCTTAAATATGGTTAAGGATAAGAAATTGAAAGTACACGTGGGAAAGTTTACTGGTGACATGATCATGAAAAAAGGATAAGATGAGCAGGGACAGACTGGCATTTGCAAACAGTAAAATAGCTACCAGGCGCTCAACATGCTGCTATACCTCTTGTGATAGTGTCAGCCTATGTCAGTTCTACCTAAACGGAATGCACTATTATAGTGTTCCTAAAGAGCTCAGTCCAATATTTGCTGCAAGCAAGGACTCATGCTCACGTTTATTTATTTTATTTTTTTTTTCAAACATTTTATTGATTTTCCAAGCTAGAAACAAGCTTAGAACATGTAAGTACATATACAGAAGTATCGGAGACCATGTTGCCCAAGGGCAAGGAGAAAAAAGTCATGTTAAAATATATAACTGGGAACCACAATGAAACATCTGGGAAAAATGCAATACAAAAGGGGGAAAAAGCATGGTTATGGTTCAACTAGGGTGTACTGCACCACAGAACTACCTATAGGTTCCATGCAAAATGGCGGAAGAAAAAAAATGGGAGAAGGTTGGAAAGATGAAGGAAAGCATAAAGGAGGCCAAGAAAGGGAACAGAGGAAGGGGAGAGGGGGGCGTGTGACTTCCTCATGCTCACATTTTTAAATAAAAGATTAGTGTCCTCAAGTTTGTTGCTAAGAGTAATGGAGCATCCTACAGTGACTCTGTACGTATACAAGTTCATGATTTCATTAAAGCATCAAAGGCATACCCCTAGATTGGTAATGAGCCTGAAGAGTGACTTGAACTGTGTATATGGCTGCAGTGCACCTACTGGGGTAAGAACCCTGGGTAAATATCAAGTGGCCCTTGTGGGGGTGAGCGCTACATAAACTTTTCACCATTGTATATGTATATTTTGGAAGGTTAGCTTCCTACACAGCCTTAAACTGCAAAGAAGCCTTACTGTAAAGAAGCCATTCTGTTTGTGGGTGTTAAGCTTTTTCTCCCCCAGCTTTCTTGTCATTTATAGTTACCTTAAGTTCAACAACTTTGTATAAAGCTTTTCATTGTACTATTAATGTATTTATATCCCTTAATCACTTCTTTGTGAAGAAGAATACATTTAGTCCAGTTAAACTCATAGCTGAGGTCCCCATGCCAATTAATAATTCAGTTGCCATTTCCCAGTTCCACACCATCCTCTTTTGTAAACTGGGGCCAAAAATTGAACTGCATACTCAAGAAGATATTCAAGAGACAAATATTTCATTTGCTGCTCCAGGTGAGATCAGGCAAAACATTTCACAATCACAACTTGTCTCCACTAAAGCAATCAATTTTACCAGCAACAGGAATACCACACACTAAGAGGCAAAATAATAATTTTCCCTTATTAAAAGTACCAGCAGGAATGTGTTGAATACTAACAAGTTTCACGCTAGGCACAATGATCAAAGAATCTCTGAGAAAGTGCTGGGCCTAGCACAAAACATGTCAGAAGAGAACTTGTTCCTGCTGGAAATGTTAAAGACATTTTACCTTAATGCAGCCCCCCTTATACTTACCTGAGCTCGTTGCAGCGTTGTGCATGAGAGCAGAGGCTCTGTCCACTCTCTCCCTCCTCATTGACTCAGAGACAGCAGTGGAAGCCATTGGCTCTTGCTGTTGTCAATCACAGCCAGTGAGGAGGGAGCAGAGGACAGGGCTGAGCCACGATGTATGTGGCAATGGACACACAGAGCACAGCTAGGGATCAAGCCCGCACAAGAGCCTCCATAGCAAGAAGTATACTCTAGGGGCAGTCAACAGGGGGGAGAGGCCAGGAGCACTGGCGGGGGACCCCAGAACATGATGATCAGGGCTGCTCAGTGTAAAACCACTGCACAGAACCGGTAAGTATTACATGTTTGTTATTTTTAAAACATAACATCTGTTCCTTTTACAATATATTATTTTGCATCTCGGTTTGTGTTATTCCTGCTGCTCGTACAGTTGAAGATATTCAAGGGGTTTTACTAATGCTTTCTACAGGGGCAAGATTATGGGGTTGACTTACTAACGGCGAATAGGCTGTTCACTTTGCAAGAGAATTTTCCTTGAGCATATTTTTGCTTGAACATGTATGGATGATGGAAGTCAGCAGAGTTTCACTTCATTCACTAAGCTGATGGAAATTTCTATTGCAAAGTGAACAGTCAATTTACCTTTATTAGACCAACCTGTGTGTCTCTCTCTCTGTTCAGTCTATAGGGTTA